TTCGTCTAGGGAATCCCCTATTTTTGTAAAATCCAGAGGGAAGATTTTCTCACAACCAATAACCCTCCACCCGAGCTGTGTTGTTGCGCACTACTTTTCCTACCTTCCTAACCCTTTTCTTTCCTTCTTTTTATCCCCACTCTCCTACTTTCTTATCTCCCTCATGTCAGTGAAAGAATTTCAACGCAGAAGTGGTTATTCCGTGTCCACGTGTGTGTCAGTAATATTTTATACGTGTCTTCTTTCTGTTTATATGTATATATAATGTACGTGTAAATGTACGTGTATGCATGTATATATATACACACACAGGTGTAAAAGTTTTCACTGTTTATTGTTTTCTTTTGTTGTTTTGTGTATTTTGTATGGGAGAATGAGATTTTCGGGTTTTTCTACTACGATTTCGCGATTAAAATAATATTTCATTTCTCTACTCATGTTTTTTTTTTTTTATATTTTTTTTTTTTAACATAAACCACGTACTTAGTATACTAATCTCTCCCCCACTGTATAATTTCTTTTAAAAACGATCTCTCTCTATGATAAATTTTATATGGTTTTTTTTTTTTTTGTATTTTTTACAATGTGAGGGAGAGAGAATCAAAAAAAAAAAAAAATAGAAAGAAAAAGAAGATAGAAAAAAGAAATAGAAAACCGAACAAATATATATATATATATATTTTTTTAATGTTCGAGGGATACGAATATGTGGTTTAAGGGATGTTAGGATGGGAATTGTGTGGACCGGGTTTTAATAACCACTCCTTGTCAAATTTTTCAGCAAAGTGACTTTATTTTTATCCTTTATCATTGTATCACCACCAATCTCTTTCTTTCTTTCTTTTTTTTTTTTTTATAGTTTAGTATACACAGAAGAACTGGTTTTTTTTTCTTTGCATTTTTTTGTTTTGTTTTGTTTTTTTTTTTTGCTATCATAAATCCGTTTTATCATTATCATCATCATCATTCCCCTAAATTTTGGTTAATTGCTTCTCATACTTGTATCTATAGTGCCATTTTGTTTGGTTTTGGTTATTTTTTTTCTCTGGTAACTTCTACAATTGTTTTCTTTGCATTGCAATTTTCTTGAATGATTTTTTTTTTTTTATTACTTTTAATTGTTTAAAACAATGTGAGAAGAATTGTTATTTTTTTTTTTTTAAATCATTTCTTTTCTTTTCTTCAATTTTTTTTTTTTTTTTTTGAAGAGCTCCTATTGGTGCAAGTGTAAGAAGCAAATTGTGATGAAATAAAAAATAACGCACGTTCGTTCATTTGCACACACACTCTCACTCTCTCTCTCTCTCTTTTTTACTCTCTCACTTTCTCTCTTTCTCTCTTTCATTCTTTCAATCTAACCCGTTCGTTTACTCTCGCATCATTCATTTTGTTTTCTTTTTCTTTTTCTTTTCTTTTTTTTATACATATCACGACAATGAGATACAACACCGAACTGAATTATTGCATCGTTCATCTCGAATTAGATAATTTAACGATAATAATAATAATAATAAATAATAATAATAATCATAATAATAATAATAATAATTATAATAATAATAATGACAATGACAATGACGACTTAAACGACGACGACTATGACGACTATGACGACGATAATAATTAATAATAATAATAATAATAATAATAATAATAATAATAATAATAATGACAATGACAATGACGACTTAAACGACGACGACTATGACGACTATGACGACGATAATAATTAATAATAATAATTAATAATTAATTAATAATAATAATATCGAGTAACATTCGCAAACGAAATATTCAAATAACGAAACGAGAACAAAAATTATTAATAGCTGACAAAAAAAAAAAAAAAACAAGAATAATAAAAAAAAAAAAAAGAAAAAACAAAGAATTTTAATATATAATAAATCGAAAAATATTTTTTGTTCGTCAAGTGTAGCACACGATTCGTTCGATTATATCAAATCGTTTTGTTATCTACCATCTTTCTTCCTATCTTTTATCTTCTTTCTTTTTCCTTATCAGTTTTTTTTTTCTCTTACGCTTCGTAATTACTTTTTTTCTTTTTCTTTTTACTCTACAATATCTGCGTACACTATTTACAATTAACGAGTTGTTTCTCTATCATCTATTTACAGTCACAAAAAAGTGCTTTAGTTGTTGTTGCTGTTGTTGTTTTTGTTCTTGTTTTTGTTTTTGTTGTAGTATAATTTTATTTTTTTTTAATTTACTTTTTTTTTACTGTTTTTTTTTTTTAATTTAAATTTTTCACTTGCCTTTCTTTTATTATCTTTTTAATATTTTATTTAAGTTTTTTTTTTGTTTACCGTGCCCACACAACCGGCAATAAGGCCCCACTCTAAACAACGTTCACTGCAAAAAATGGAATTCATTTTAAATTAACCCTCTTTTTTTTCTTAGTATCCGAATTTATTTATCATCCATTTTTATTCTTTATTTTTATTATTAATATTGTAATCGTTTTTATATCTTTTTTCTTTTTTTATTTTTAAATTGAGATTGTGAAAGCACGGCACGAGTAAACAAAATAAATACTGACTAGTAAACGCCCTAAAGTGTCATCCCTAACCCCTTCTTCCTATTTAATAATTATACATTGTCAACTGTTAAAGAGAGAAATATTTAAAAAAAAAAACAAAGAAAATAATGTTTAACAAAACGTTTGATAAATGTGCGTGATTTAAATTTGTTTTTTTTTTTTTTCTATATTTTCTACTTTTTTTTTCTTAGTATTATCTCTGATTCGATTGAACTAACACACATTAGGTAAGAAACTAGTCAAAAAACATACATAATTAATCAAACGATTTTCTTTTTCTTTTTTTCAACAAGGATTGTGGTGTATAGGTTGGTGGAGGGGTTGGTCGAGGGTGAATTGATTGAAGGAATGACTAAAAAAAAAAAAAAAAAATAAAATAAAAAATTACCTTCTTATAATCGAACACAATTTCTACTAAACTAGTACTTTTTCTTTTTTAATAGAATCTCGTCGAGAACAAAAAAAAAAATGAAAAGAAAAAACCACGATAATACCTAGGGTGATAATTTTTAATAATAGTTAGGACAAAAGTTAGTTTCACCTCGTTGAATCCCATAAGACACGCTATATACTATATATATGTTTCTATCTAAAAAAAAAAAAAGAGTTTAGTATAATATTATTAAGTGAATCAGGTTTTCGTGTCACTCTAACTTATGCTCAACGAGAGGAATGATTATTAAATGAAAATCTAATATAAATTTGAAGAAACAAAGAAGTATCAAGATATAAAATAGAGAATCACCTTATTTTTTTTTTTTGGCTTTTGTAATTTTTTTTTTTTATTATTATTATTATTTCTGAATCTAAGGAACGAGAGGGATGATATCTGAAAATTTTCTTTTCTTTTCTTTTTTTTTTCCTACATATTCATCCCTCAAATAGGATATGTGAATCGTCACGTGTAATTTTTGTTTTTCGTGTTTGTAAGGAACCCCCGACAATTTTTTTTCTATGGTGGTGGTGGTGGTGGTGGTGGTAGTTGTGTGTGTTGACTTATTTCTTTTCGGTGTAGAAAAATTATAGTTTATCGCGTATTCTTTTTTTCTTTCTTTCTTTCTTTCTTTCTTGCGTTCAGTTTATAAGTTAAATATTATTATTATTATTATTACCTATACGTGTGTGGGTATATAATATATATATAGATTATATATATAGAGATGTTACACAATAGAAGGTCATTGTGTGTGTTAGAAAATGTCATGAAGATATTTCTCTCTCTCTCTTTCTCTTTGTTTTTCTTTTAAATGAGAATACTTTTTTTTGCAATGTATGATGACGTATGTCACGTGTCACGAACGTTTAGGTAAATTTCTTCAGGCCTAGCAAGAAGTTGATGTATTTGTTGCATTGTACACAAAGGACACATTTCTTCTTCAGTACCATCGGCAATAATTCGTTTAGCAGTACCGGGTGTTTTTTTATTGTACCAAGAATCAAGGATATAAGCGTAACCTTCGGAATCAAATAAATTGGAGGAAGACGAGGATGAGGATGAAGATGAGAATCTCGTTTTCAAGGATGTTCTCGTATTTGCAATTGACGATGATGAATGAAGAAGATTAGGAGGAGGAGTTGAAGGAGGTGGAGGTGGTGGAGGAGGTGGAGGAGGAGGAGGAAGAATAAGAGGTAAAGGTGGTGGTGGTGGTGGTGGTGGTGGTGAAGTACATCTCAAGGATTCGATTAATTCATGATCCTTAAAATCGATATAGGAATAACCTTCGGAATCAACCGAGTGTCTTCTGATAATAGATTCGTGATTTTTGATAGGTGAAATCGTATTTGTTATTTGACGATAGGAAATAGGACTACTTTTATTTGTAATAGGATTAATTTTAGTTTTTGGTCTATGCGTTGGTGTTATAGGTAGTTGTTGTTGGTGTGGTTTGTTGTTATAGGTACGAATAGAACGATTAGTCGAAGAAATATAACAACTATTATTACTAGTATTAGAATCGTGTTGTTGGTAATTAATGTGGTTATTTCGATCATTCTCATCATTTAGATGATTATTGATTTTCATTGAGGATAATGAAGAATTTGTGGTTGGTGTAACTGGTAAAGGTTGTTGTGGACTGGTTATCAATGCGTTATGCGTGGCTAGAATAAGATGATGATTGTTAAGTAACTCGTTATTGTTGTTACTACTATTATTATTGTTTAGGGTATGATTAATGATACTATTGTTAATAGTAATATTAGAAATATTATTACGGGGCACGTGTGTAGCTATTGAAAGTGAAACTTCCTGAGATTTGGCGAGTAAGGCTCGTGGCGTACGGTAACCACCTAACACAGCCCTTGAGGGCTTTTCCGTGACACGAAGTATCGCCCTTGGGTCCCGGTAGTCGAGATAGTCGAGGTGATGGGGACGCAACGTGGCCTGCGGTTGTCGCTCCCGTAGGTGATCAACCCCCCGTTCACGGGGATTTGTACCTCGTACCTCGATCGTCGGAGCTTGACCAATCGGATGATGATGATGATGATGATGCTGCTGACTCGGCGTCAAGTGATTGTGTAGTTGAGAGGAATGGGTACCGGTTGTTCCTCCCCCCATAGTGTCAGGCAAATCCTCGTAGAGTACGGCTGCAGCGTTGGTACTGGTATTACCAACTGAACCACCATGAGATTGGCAGTCCGGAAGTACCCGTGTCCGTCCTGACGCTGCTGCTGCCGCTGCTGCTGCTGCTGCACCCGCTGCACTCTTACACGGCAATAAATTCTGTACTTTTCGTTTGTGCCTAAAATCAAAACAAAATCATACGTCAAATATATATTTTTAAAATGTTAACAAACGTACGAACTTTTGATTAATCCTAATACTTCTAATCAAAAATCAATAAGTTTTATTTTTAGGGTTTGCAACGAAGTATAATATTTCGTACTTTATATTCGTTTCTCATTCATCCTCATAGTGGATTAGTTTAGGAACTTGTTGTAATTGTTTGTACAAGCGGACGTTGCTTTAGTTTGAGGTTAGGGTTGATGCGCACGGGCAAATACGCGTACTCTAGAGATAGTCTCTCTTCTTCTTCTTCTTCTTCTTCAATGTTAACTTGAAACGAAGAGGATTTCGAGAAGGAGGAAACTGTTGCCTTTGCCTATCAATGCCGTTTCATACGTGTTCATTGGTTACTGGTTAAAGTTACTATACTATAGTAAATGACTATACGTACGTTTGAGAGTATTCAAGAGATTTGTGTAGCCCAAGTAAATACAGATAACGTCTATGTATTTGTATAATATATACTTATGCGTACATGTGTGTGAGGACGTAATATATGTAGAAACACGTGTGTACATATATGTATGTTCTATGTAATTCAACCAGCAATTCCACATAAAACACGATTCGTACGATCCGTGCTTCCCTTTTCAACCCCACCATCACCCTTCTCGAGTTGTTACCCTACCGTTCCTGGTCAGGTCCTTCGTGTCCGTTAATCACGATGAGCACGGGGTGGTAAAAGCGTTTAAATTTGCCACATCCAACTAGTAAAGGGGTGCTACTAGGTGGTAGTACTACTACTACTACTACTACAACTATCCTGTGAGACGAAAGGGAAGGCATTCATTTATCCAAAAGGATCTGTGGTATAAACGCAAAGTGATGGGGGTTGTTAAAAGGTCTGCACTACGAAGATAATAACAACGGTACAACCATACACTTATCACCTAAGTTTCTTTTTCTTTTCTATAATAAAGGAAAAACATTTCAATACTTTTATCATTTGTGTTGAAATCTTTTTCTTTTCTTCTTCTTCTTCTTCAATTAGAATAGAAACGTAGGATATATAAAAACTAGGATTCCCAAAAGTACCACCATCAGTAAGTTAAGTGGTGTATCTTCCAAGTTTTAATTATCTAGTTAACTCTATTTGGTTCGATAATATTTGCTTTTATAATTAAACTACTGGGTAAGAGGCTAACAACCAGTAGTACCACTACCACCACTACTACCACCATTACCAGAAACCAGCAGCATTGAGATTATGTATGTATGTATATACACACTTTAGTCAGTAGGTCGAATAAAAAGATGGTTAAAATCTGTATGGATTGCGAATAATAAAGCGTGTAAAATGTTCTAGGGTAGAAGATAATTGGGTATATAAAGGAGAAAATCAGCTATCTCACTCTATCTCTCTCTTACTCTCTGTTTTTGCCTGCTGGCTGTGTTCCTCTGACCCAGCTAAGGGTAAAAAAGAAAAAAAAACCAACCTAAAGTAAAAAACGAAGCTTTTTTCGGATTATTGACCAACCAAGATACCACTTGGCCCTTCTTTCATTCTTAAAAAACCTAACCTTTAAAAATTTAAAAGATTAAACTTTTTACATAGTTCTATCTCTCTTTTTTATTTTTATCCCATTATTATCATCATCATTATTGTTATTATTATTATTATTATTATTATTATTATTATTATTATTATTATTATTATTTAAATTACATATTATATTCATATTAATAATTTTGCATAAAAAGTTTCACTATAAACTAATTTTTCTCTTATTACAAATGAAATACATTTTCAAAACCAAAAATACAAAACTTTGAATATAAATTAGATAAAAATTTAAAAAGCAATCGATCAATTTATTTATTTATTTTTTTTTTTTGTATATTCAGAAAAAAAAGAAAACAACATCATCAGCATTTTTACGTTCCATCAACGTTTTTTTTTTTTTTTTATAAAAGTTTGATGGAAACCCCTTTTTTCGGTTCGCGAGTTATTTCATTTCAGTTTTTAACATTTAAATATATATATATATATGTATGTATGTATATAATCGAATGGGTTTCGTTTATAAAAAAAAAAAAAGATGAAAGTTTTCACTTTGATCAGTTTCAAATTTTGTTAGACAGCTCTTTTTCCTATCACTAACGTGTGAAATTTTTATTTTATTATTATTATTATTATTATTTTTACAGACAATTTTTATTAGATTTTGGTTGAAATAATTTATTGTCATAGTTGAGAATAGTTTGTATATACAATAAAATGTATTTGAAAAATTTTGATAGATAAATACTACTTGAGTTTTTTAATCAAATTTCTATTATAGGTTATGTCACCTAAGTTTCATTTTAGATGACAAAAATCTTTGCATCATCTTCATCAAACCTAATTGGTTTTGTATAAAAATAATTTTCAACAGATTAGTATTACTCGTTTCATTTATTATTTTTTAATTCTATCCTTCTTTTTTTCATTAATATCTAATCTTTCAATTAATCTAATTACCAAACAACAAAACCCAATCACAGATTACAAAATGAATTGAAACTATTAGAAACAACATTTAGTTAATTCTATTTCGATTATTTGAAAGTAAGTGAACATCTACAATTACAGTCTACCTAGAAAGATCAAAGGTTTGAGGGTTAAGGTTTATTGAAGCGAGGTCGAGTTCAGTTGGAGTCGAGGTCGAGGACAAGATAGCTATCAATAGATTTCGTCTTGGTGACCACAAAATGGAACACCAGACAGGAAAGTTTCTGTTTGCTTTAAGCAAAATGGTTATATCCTTTAGATCCTTTATATATATATCAAATATATATATATCAAAACATGGTAGGAAATGTGTTGATTAGATTGATCGTTAATTCATATTATACTTTAATATATAAGAATGAAAACTATAAAATGTGAATCAATCAATTATTCTTCACAAAACTCTAAACTATTCGGACTCCCTAAAGGGTTAGATATATTTTGTTGAAAGGAAGGAAAGATAGTAATACAAGCTCAAAGTTATAGGATGAGATGAGAGAAGACTTTGTAGTTATCAAGAATAGAAGAGAAGTTACGTCTGTGCTTCTCCAGTAACAGTCTTCTTCTTGTGCACTCAGGAAGGGAAGTCAATTGGTGGAGCAAAGTGAATTCGTCCTTGCTAAGCGTTGAATAGATCATTTAAGTCGAGCTTTTAACTTTAGCTAATTAACTGTTTCCCCCCAACTCTTCTTCCTACTTCCTAACCTCTCCACTTTTTACTGTTTTCTCTTTCCAAGATGGGATCTTTATGTTCACATTTATTTTCTTTATTGTTGGAAATATTTATTATTATTATTATTATTATTATTTTATTTTTCTACAGTAAATATATAAAGTATAACAAAATTTGAAATAATAAGTGTTTGACAAATTTATTAATAAAAAAAGATTAGTTTCAAAAGCAACGAGGAATAACCTAAAAAGCTTTCTCACGTTTCTGCTAAAAAAAAAAAAAAAAATAAGAAAAGAATGAAATAGGGGTTGAAAAAGAGAGGTAGGGGTAAAGAGGGAAAAAAAAGAAAATAATTCGAGACACTCAGGATTAAAAGTACGAAAAAAGAAGTCTCATGGACACAGTTTAAAACGCACATCCATCCTACTAGTACCACCACCTACTATCAAGCACAGGTAAGCGCATCGGGGATTTTGAAGTTTACTCGCCCCGTTTGAAACAGGCGTTCGATGAAACGTTAGCAAGGGGTGGCAGGATCGGGGGAGGGAGGTTGTTCCCTCTTAAGCCTCTCGAAACTACAAATTTTGCATATCAATGCGCATAGAAACGACGACGACAACAACAACAACAGTGCCGTATCCTCGACTCGATAAACGACTTCCTTTTGCTTTCCCATTCTCAAGCCAACCCCACCCAACTCCATTTCCCATCCCTTTTTCGTTCACTCTCTCTCTCTCTCTCTCTCTCTCTCTCACATTCTCGATTTATTTTCCTACTTTGTTCTCTTACCAATGTATAGTAACATTCTCATAAGCGGTAGAAATCCTCTGGGTTTCAGGATTCCCCGGCAATATTCCAGAAAGCTTCCTCTCTCTCCCTCTTTCTCTCTCTCTTTCTCTGCTTGTTCGCATACAAACATAAAATTTGATATACGTGTGACACGCATATAAGCGTATCGTTGAGGAAAAGTACACTCTCTACCTCACAGTTCGTGTACAGTTTGAAACGGGTGCAGCAATGTCGTGCAAAACCAAATCCACCCTCTACCTCTACCCCTATACTCTCAACCCTATCTCTCTCTCACTCTCACTCATAGAATTTTGTTCTTCCTACTCTTCCAGCCGTGTCCGTCCATGGTGGGTACAAGCCGGGTTATTATTGTTTTGCTCATATCGATCCGACCAATAGGTACATACATGCTTATCGGACTGGTTTAGCATAGTGAGTGGGGGTGAGTGAGGGGTGGGCATTATTCCGATCAAGGCAAGTGATCTCGCAGTTTTGGTCGGTTATCAGTGACGGACCGATCGACTCCTCCTATTCCTTCTCCCCTATTCCCTCTACAATCCTTCAAACTACCCCTGAGAACTGTTCTACACATCACTGTCTTTTCTCAACTAATAATAGTACAATAAAAGAATAATCTGATAGAAAAATAAAACTAAAATCCATAAGCAACAACAAGCCGTGAATAAAATAAAATAAAATAAAATAAAGCAAAGTAACGTTACGTGACACCCTAATGTGTCTCTTTGTCCTTAACCACAGGGTATTACCCAAACGCGTTGAACATTTTTCGACCGCAACCTTTTTAGGGTAACGAGCCTAAACGAGAAGGGCCAGATCGATAAAACAAGAGAGAGCAAGAGAGAGAGAGAGAGAGAAAGACAAAACCACCACCCTTTAGGAGGGTGTTCTCGGTGTATTGCTTGTTGCCAGCCTGTTAGGAACCGCTTTTCAAATGGACGGGTGACCCAATAGGCACATACAACCGATGCGCTGCTACTACCAT